CCCCCGCTCTCCCACCAGGCCTGCCAAAATACAGCGAGACAGGGTGTAATTACCGGCACTTACCGTGGCCATTACCCCCCTCGCCGCCGTGCGTGACACACGACCCGTCAGCTCAGCGTTCGCGCCATTAAGGGGCCTCATTAGCATCCCGGCTCAGAAGCAAAATTACCCTCACTGCTCATTTCAAGATGTCATCAATTTTAATTTAGGGCCCAAAGATAGTACAATGGGAAGGCCCTCCCCGGCCCGCCGCACACGGAGCGAGGAGAGGGTGGGGGAGGGGGCTGTTACAGGGAGCCTGGGCAGGGGGGAGGTTATGGAGAAGAGGGACGAGGCAGGGAGGGGGAAAGATGGGGCTGAGCAAGCAGGGGAGGAAAATGATCCCCCAAGAGAGGCCCCCAGGCTAGGGCCTCTGCTGGCACCCCCCTCGGAGGGAAAAGGAATTAAGGGCACAACGGGGACAGGGCCCTGACCCACCCAGCCCTCTCGGGCCATCTAGAGGCTGAGGTGTCTAGAGCCACAGCATGAGTGAAATGCAGTGCCCAGCCCTCCCTTCAGTTATGCCTTGAATTCTCACAACCACCTTGGGAGGTATACATTGCAATCCCCTGTTACAGATGGGGAAACTGAGGCACAGAGCAGCTCCATTACACATCGAGCCACGGCAGAGCCCACATTTAAACGCAGGTCTGTTTGGCTTTGCCGCTCCCTGCCTTCCTGGACCCGGAACCTGTAGCCTTGCGGAATAGTCTTCCAGTTACCCTGCCTGGGAGCGTGGGCGGGGCAGAGGTGGCTGCCCACCCAGCCTCATCCACGGCCAGTCCCACCGTGCCCTCTCTTCTGCAGGTGGCCCCGTTCCTCAGGCCTTTGCACATTCATGTCCTGTGCCTGGAATGCCCCTCCCACCCTGTCCACGTGCCTTCCCTCTGCCCTGTCAGCCTGCTGCCTCATGACCCAGCTTAACATCACCTCCGCCCCTGTCTCTAAACCCACACTGAGCATTAGTGAGGCTCCCGCGTCTGTCCCCCTACACCCCCAGCCCCCGGGGACTAGCTCACAGAGAACTAGGCTGGCCATCCACACATCCCCAGCACCCAGCACGGGGCCCGCTCCAAGTGGTGCTCAGGGGTTGCTGAGTGAACAAGGGCCCACCTTGCTCTGCGAGTCCACTACATCCCGGCTGGCTTCCTGCCCTCAGGTGGAGTTCAGGACGGTTGTCTGGGCAGAAAGGAACCATGGAGTTCTCCCCGCCTCCTCATGGAGGTCTCAGATGAGCAGCTGGGGCTCAAGATGAGTTGGGTGGGGGCTCGAGAAGGACTATTTCAGTCTGTCTCTTATGGCACAAGAGCAAATGTGCCACAAATGTTTGTTGAATGACTGTTTGAATGTATGAATGAATGAATAAATGGGTGAAAAGCATCTCTCCCTGGACACTTTTAGTTCCCTTCAGGGACAGGAAGCTTGGCTATTCCCTCACCAGGCCTTGCAGCGACTTGAAGTATCAACACGCCTGAGGGGATTTCATTTTATAAGCAGAGCCTGGGCACACTCCACGCCCTGAAAGAGCCTCTTTTGGAAAGAGAACAACTTCACAGGCAGCTCCATAGACCTCTGGCCAGTGGAGATTTTCCAGAAGGCCTGGTTTGGGAGGTACGGGAGAGGTGGCCTCATCTTCTTGGTGTCTCCAGCCAGCTGCCACCCCAGCCTGTCGTAACTCACAGCAGGCCTCAGTTCCTCCAAGTGTAAAGGAGGTGGCCATGACTCACGTTCCAGCTCTTCAGGCCACTGTGTCGTGAGGCTTGGTGACATGGCGGCAGGAGGAGGGCCGGGCCTGGGGCCCAGCAGGCTGTGGGGACAGGCCACTAACTGCACCTGCCCTCAGCCCTGGCCAGGTCCTGCCTGCCTGTCCTCCGGCCCGCCAGCCCCCCAAGCCCCGTGGCCACTGCAGGGTTGAGAGGAGAGGGAAGGGCCCCCATCCTAAGCCCCGTGACAGGGTCCTCGCTGGCGGCAAGCACCGTCCCCGGCCTCACAGAAGACGGATCGCTCCCTTAATCACTCTGGAAAAGAACCCCAAGCCGATATAATATTATAATTAATTAATTCACTAAAAAGGTATTAAATTTCTCTCCCCCCTGTGGATATTATCTGAATTCATTGACCTTTAGAAAAATCACCCTCTAATTGTAACCAGGTCCAAAAGCATTTGCAGCCTGTCCCTTTTACATTAATAATATCTTCCCGGACTCGGCTCTGGCTGCTTAAATATTGTATAAATTCCACTGCCCCCCTCGGAAAGGAGAGAGCGAAGAAAAAAAGATGAGGCTGGAGGAGTCTGAGAGGGGGATGGGGGCTGGACCCAGAGAGGTGAGGGTCCTGGGCGTCCAGGGGTAGGAGGTGCAAGCGGAGGGGTCTGGCTTCCCCAGCCGGGCAGGGTGGCTCCTAGGGTGGGGAGAGGCGTAGGCTTTGTGGGGCCCAGGGGCGCGGGGCGGGAGCAGGAGCATTAGACTTGGGGTTAGTTTTTAGGAGGCTATGGGTGTGTGTGTGCATGAAAGATCCGTAGTGTGTATCATCCAAGTCAATGGCCCCAGACAGTAAAGGAAGGATCTCTGATTTTAAAGGGCCACGGGTAGTGGAAACGTGTGGAATCCCAAGCAGCACATTCTGAGGACCTGCTCCCCACGCGGGCTGCGGCCCCCCAGACGCCCTGTTCTACCGATGGTGGCGCAGGCCTCGTAGCAGCTGCAGCTGACACCTGGAACTTCCTGCAGCGGAGGAGGTGGGTACTCAGGCGGAGAGAGAAGCCAGCAGGACAGACAGACACAGGAACTGGAGCTGAGGACAGTGGGGTCAGGGGCAGGGGCTCTCTGCGTCCTCTACCAGCACCACCTCTGCTCCCCCAGAACCCTGGGTGGGAGCCATTGTGCTTGTCCCCACACCGCTCCCACCCGGCTTGGGCCTCTCCCAGCTCCCTCTCCCATTGTGCGCTGTTTGTTTTCAGGCCTCAGGGGGCTTTCTCGAAGAAATGGAGGGGCTGGACAGGTCCACCACTGCTTTCACACCAGCCACTCTGCCTTTTTAAAAAGAATTTTCCCCCATGGACCTGTCACCCGGAAAGGTGGTGTCCACCAAATAAAGAACATGGCGGAAGAACACATTCCCCTCTTGTTTAATCAGAGACGTTCACAACCACCCGTCCAAAGCTGACAGAGCTGATGGCCAACTCCATTCTGGCCACAAGATGAGGGTGGTTCAGGTGGGTCTCAGATACTAGAACACTTTCTGGTGGCTTATTGAAATGCTGGAGGTAGCACCAGGGCCATCCTTAACCAAACCAGCAGGACTGTAGGATCCCCAAGCAGGGTGGAAGCCACCCAGGCAGACGGCTTGGAATGTACAATGAAGCTGAGACTCCCCTACCCCCACCAGCCTTGGCGGGCCGCTGCCTGGTCCTGGCCCGGGGGCACCCTCTTGTGGACAGAACCCAACTCACACCCTCAGTCCTGTCTGTCCAATGTGCCATCGCCACCGAAGGAGCCAGGGGCAGGAAGCCAGCAGGCAGGTGGAGGGGGTGCCCGCAGTTTTGAAGGGCTGCTCTCCACGCCACTGCGGGAATCCTCAGGGTGAAGTGGAAGACCAAGGGACTGGGATGGAGAGAGATTTCTCCCAGACCCCCATCCCCTCCAGTGCCCAGGCGGCCCAAGCCTGAATCATCAGGTGTCTCCCAGCCAGAGTCCAGCGCTTGCCCCAGAATGGGCTCAGCGAGAGTTCCCAGGGTGGGACCTGGAACTGGAAGGAGGCACAGACTCCACAAGGTCATCTGCGGCTCCATCTGACCTTGAGATTAATCCTGCAGTCTCTGCCAGCCAGGCTGCCAGCAGTGCCCACGCTGCCCGGCCCCCTTTCCTTCTCTCCCCTCGCACATTAATTGCTCCAACGTTGATTTGATCTCCCGTTCTGCACAGAGGAAATTGCCCTCTTTGCCGCTTTCATCCTGGGATTTTTTTTTTTTTTTTTGATCAGGCCCCTTCAGCCTCTCAGGTGCTGGAGAGGGGAAGCCGTGTTGGCCTCTGCCTGAAGACACTGGAAAGTCAAGGGGGAACCGCACGGTGCCCAGTGCCCGAGAAGACCCTCTCCTTCCTCCCTCAGACACCTGGAGCCCAGGCAGACACCACTCGGCTCCTCACTGCCCCAAGCCCCCCTACCCATCCTGGGTGAGATCGGAAAATCCCGGAATCGGTGCAGAGGCCCACGGGAACTATCGTGTCTGGGGGATCACCGCCCAGAGAGAGACAATGTCAGCCTCTCTGCAGACAGTGCCGGAGTGGAGCAGGAGTAGAGCCTGTGTCTTTGACACCCATCAGCATCCTGTGCTCCCAAATAGTTCACGTGGGTCCCTTTCCCCAACCCATAGGACGCTCTCGGTCACTAGGAAGGCTGCCCTGCTAGGGACGCTAAGGAGAGAGAGAGGTTAGCCTGGTCTCCAGAGCGGCAGCTAGAGCCTCTCAAGCTGCAGGCCAGCAGCCTGGGAGGGGAAGACATCTGGAGAGGTCACCACTAGAACTGGGGGTTGGGGAGAGGAGAAGCATGCCTCCCACCCCCCACCCAGGGGTAACCTGGGCCAAGGGTACCCAAAAGCAGCAGCTAAGGCCGGTAGACTTGGTTTAGGAGCACCCCGTCCCCCACATCAGCACCTGCTCTGACTCGGGCCACAGCTGGAGGTGCAGGACCAGCGTGGCTGCAGCGCCATCTTGTGGCTGTGAGGAGGGACAAAGCCCCCATCAGCACCCAGGCCCAGAAGTAAGGCTGCGTCTCCAGCTTCCTGGGGCAGGGTGGAGTTGGGGGGAACCAGGCTAGGGGCTTATTCCCTCTTCTCTGTACCCCCCACCCCAAACCCCCTCAAGGAGCATCCGAACCCCGAGTCCAGAAGAGGGCCCATTGGGTCGAATCATCGCTGGTTTTTGTCAGCCCTAGACCCACTCCAAAGAGACAGGACAAACAGGTACAAAGCACAGTGTTTACTAAAGGCACAAAGTGGGAAGTCTGGAGGGGGCTGCTCTTCCAGCAGTGACCCCACACTCTAACCCGAACCCAGCTGCTCCCTCTCTTCCGGCCACCCCCACCCTCACACCACCTGGTGGAGAGCTGTTAGCACCGAAGGGGGTGGGACCTCACCTCTGGGAGGGGGGAGGACCAGGCTGGGGGATGGGCTTTTTGCCATCTGAGTCCCAGAAAGGCAGGCCTGGGCACCCCCGGACCAGTCGCTGCCTCAGAGAAGGAGCTTCTGGAATCCTCTGCTCCAATGTGTCCTTCATTGGTGCTGAAGGGGATCAGGCTCAGAAGATAGGACGCCCCCACTAGGAGTCCTCTTCTTACCTCTGGTACACCTGCCCCTCCCTTCCCCTCATGATTGCACCTCCTGGAGCCAAGGTGAAGGCCTACCCCCTCCCAGCCCCATCAAGAGGGCTGCCCCTGGGGGGCACTGAGCTGGGGGGGTGGTTCTCCTGACCCCACAGGCTGCCAGGCAGGCACTAAGTCCAAACAGGGGGTCAATAGGGAGTAGTGAGGCAGGGCAGGTGGCTAATGCACACACGAGTGCAGCCTGAAGGGAGGGAGGGGGTGCCCCAGCCCTCCCAGCCCCCAGGCCGGCCCCTGTTCCCTGGCACAGGGGCAGCCAGGGTCACAGCACATCGCCCTCCTCCATGCTGAAGCTGCTCCGGCGGCTGCTGGCCTTGGAGGCCTCGGGGGACATGGTGGATAAGAGGGGATCGGAGGCCAGTGGTAGCAGTGAGTCGTCCAGGAGCATGAGGTCCAGATCCTTCTTGGACAGGTTGGGGAACGGGGAGCCATGCTCCGGGCCCAGGGCTTCGGGGTAGCCTGGGGGCCCCTCGTCATCCCCGCCCGCAAAGCTCAGGCTGTGGCTAAAGTCCAGGTGATGGAATGGGGACGGTGGCTGAGCAGGCGGGCCCAGCGGGGCCTGGGGAGGCAAAGCCGGCAGCGGCTCAGGGTCAGGGACCTCGGCCCCCAGCATCAGGGTCTCCCCTGGGCCCTCTTCGCCGGGCAGCTCCTGCTTCACCACCTGCTGGGCCAGCTCGGCCATGTTCATGCCCGACGGGGAGGTGGTGGGGAGGCCGTGCACTCGAGCCTGCATCTCCAGCTCCTGCAGGGGGGCAGACAGAGGGCTGGGGGCACACAACCATAGACACCAGCTGCCAGGCCACACCTCCATCCCAGCACTTGGCCCTGCCCTCGTGGCACCCAAGGCCACGAAATGTCTCCGCTGGGAGAAAGCACAGGGTAGCTGCGGAGTCTCGACCAGTGTTTTTCAAACTGCAAGTCATAACTCATTAGTGGGTTGTGAAACCGCTGTACTGAGTCTTGACCAGCTCTTTCCCTATTTTTTCCCTAGTTGAAATAGACTTGTCTAGACAAGACTGGAATAGAAATTATCAGAACACGTTGCATCTACTAAGAATGAGTGTTCCTTCATGAAATTTTGATTTTTCACTTTGAATGCGTCTGTGTTAGATTTCAATGTAAATTGTATTATCTACCACGAGAAACAGAAAAGTTTAAAAGTGGTAGTCCAATCGTCCTTTGTGTAGGGGACCAGCCTCAGGTCCAAAGAGGACAAGAGGCTCTCAGCACAGACCCAGGACTAGAACTGTCCGTCCCAGCTGGTGGAGCTGACTCTCCCAAGCCCTTGTTCTTTGGTTTGCCACACGGTGACTGCTAGCGCTAGCCACCAAATGATTCCGCGCTCTGCCTCCCAGGCGCACGGTGGGTCTGCACTTCCTGCTCCCTGGAGGTTGGATGTGGGGTGTACTTGCATCGGTCGAGCCCAAGTGGAAGCCACATGTGGCCCCTGAAGAGTGACACGTGGCTTTAAGAGCGGCTCTAGATGTGCCTATAAGCTTGGGTTCCAGAATGAGGGTTTCACAGAAGAGAACCTCAGCTGGTATTTGATGCTTTAAATGTGCTAGGGATTGTTTGTCAGCAAAGCATAACATCCTGACTGAGACATCCTCCTTCCTCATGGGCATCATTCCTGCGTCTCCAACTTCAGAAGTGTAAGGACTGCCCCTGGGGTCAGGAGCCAGGTCAGGGTCAGGGGTCAGAGCTACCCAAGAAGTCCAAGTTCAGGACCAGACCTGGATACGGAGCCAGAGCTGCTTGTTGGTCATCTCCAGGCGCCGAGAGTGGTTCTCAAGCTCCCTGGACTTCTGCAGGTCCTTCTGCATCCTCCGGATATAATCGACAGACGCCTTGAGGATGGTGCCCTTGTTCCAGCGCACGTCCCTGCGGCAGCAGGCCAGGCAGGGTCAGAGATGCGTGCTCAGAGGAGTGGCCAAGTCTTTGCCTCTGATTTAGTGTCAGAGCCTATGTCACCTGTCCCAGCCTTGCCCACCAAGCCCAGAGCTGGCCTTCCCCTATCTGTGGAGGAGGTTGATCTCAGTTTGCACAGAATAGGCCCTCCCAGGTGACTTCTGTTGCCGCCACCCACAGAACCCAGCAATTTGGTGCAGCCTCCTTCCCAAGACCACCCAAACCCAAGCCTGCCCCGGGCTCCCAGTACTCCTGCCCCTCAACCACTTCTCTTCTATCTACCAATCCAATGCCCTTGAGGAAACTTTCCCAGTATGACTCTTCCTCCAGGACACTCCCCCCGTCCCCAGCCTCACTTCCAGGATAGAAGCTCATCTGTCTTGAGCTTCCTGATTTGGGAGAGTGAGGGATCTTCTTTTCTCAAATAGATGGTGAGCTCTAGGAGAGATTCTCTTCCCAGCCTAGCAGCTAGCATGGGGCTGGGGACAGATAGTATTTGTCAGCTCCTGCCCACCCCGGGCCCCTACCCTCCCACCCAGACACTTGCTCACAGGTCATTGGCCTTGGGGATCAGCATTCCCAACTCCTTGATGCGGTCATTGATGTTGAACCTCCGTCTCCTTTCGACTAAAGGTAATAGGGAGCAATTAGAGGGATGGGGACCCCACCTGGGGAGAAGCATCTAGCCCAGGGAGGGGCACCTCAGGGGCAACCTGCAGCTCAGATTTAGCCCTTCTAAGAAGTAAAGGGTAGGCTGGGCGTGGTGGCTCACGCCTGTAATCCTAGCTCTCTGGGAGGCCGAGGCGGGCGGATTGTTTGAGCTCAGGAGTTTGAGACCAGCCTGAGCAAGAGCGAGACCCCGTCTCGACTAAAAATAGAAAGAAATTAATTGGACAACTAAAAATATATATAAAAAAAAAATAGCCGGGCATGGTGGCGCATGCCTGTAGTCCCAGCTACTCGGGAGGCTGAAGCAGGAGGATCGCCTGAGCCCAGGAGTTTGAGGTTGCTGTGAGCTAGGATGACGCCATGGCACTCTAGCCCGGGCAACACAGTGAGACTCTGTCTCAAAAAAAAAAAGAAGTAAAGGGTAGCCAAAAGATTGGGATTTCTACAGAGGTGAGGGGGCCAGGGCAAAGGCCAGATGCAATTTAGGGCACTGCGAGGCAGAATCAGCCCTGCTTAGGCTGTTAGCACAGCGAGGCTGCCTGGGGTGGGACTCTTCCCCACTGCACAGAACTCTTCTGTGGCCCAGGTTCCATGCCTTAACCCAGAAAACAATCTGATAAACTGGGGTTTCATGAGTATCCCGCCCCAGAAGCCCCTCTCCCACCCCCTCCTAAAGAGGACTAGTGGGAAAAGAACAAAATCGAACCAGCCAACACTGAGTTACAACAGTGGGAGGGCTTAAGGCAGTTGGCCTTGGGTAGGGAAGCCTTCCTAGAACTGCTGTGGGTCAGGGAGTGGCTGTCTGACCGGCCAAGGTGACAGCAAGGGAGCCGGGCAGGGGCGGGGAGAGGGGCCGAGCAGGACTCACTTAGGTTGTGATTGTCTTTCTTCTGCCGCTCCTTGGCCAGGGCCCGGCTCTCAGCATCTGGAGGCCAGGGAGAGGGAGAGAGGAGCTGGGCGCAGGGTGGGGATGAAGGAGGAGGGGACCCGGGGCACAGGGAGAGATGGGGGCAGTACCTGTGAGCTCTCGCTTCTGGGTCAGGTCCGCTGGGCAGGAGCTGCTGGTGACGCCCACCAGGGAGGCTGTGACCTGGGGGTCGCTGCTGTACACGTTCAGGTGGCTGCTGGATAGGGGCAGCTGTGGGGTGAGACAGGGAGAAGAACCCATCATCCCAAGAATGGGGGTTCCCTGGGATTCCAGGGGCATCAGATTCACCCTGGGCCGCTTCACCCAGCCACACAACCTGACGGTCTGCAGAGTGCAGAGCTGCCTGAGATGCAGCCCCTCCCCTCGAGGAGGATCAAACAGTGATAAGTGCGGATAGGATTAGGCCCTAGGCATCACGGAAGCCTAGGGTGGAGGCCGAATCAATTCTGGAGTTTCTGAAAGGTTTCCTGGAGGGCGTGGAACTCAATGGAGTCCTGAGCAGAGACGTGAGGAAAAGCCCTACAGGCTGGGGGACAAGCACAGAAGGGGCGGCTGGCAGAGCGCGGCCTGCCCCGTGTGCTGTGGGCAGGGTGGGAGATTCGGCTGGGTCTTGGGTTGCCCTGTTTGACTTGCAAAGACACTGGGGTTTTGGAAGGGACAGTCAGTGGAGGTTTAAGCAGAGACCTGGCAGGAAAAGATTTGAGCTCTGGAAAGATCTTCCCAGCTCCTGCCACAGAAAGACACAGAACAAATCACAGGCCCACACACCCCACCGTGAACTACTAAAGCCATCAGACACTTGCACCCTCCCTTCCTCCCTCCCTTCCCCCTCAGCCCTCACTGGCCCTGCTGGCTGGAGGTTTGGACCCAACTGGTCCCAGCCAGCTCCTGCTAAGCCATCCAGCAATGTCACCAGGGCAGCAGAGATTGAGAATCGACTCCTTGACTCCCCACCGCAGGAATTGGGGACTTTCCCTCGGTGGCACGGGCTGGGGCCGGCATCTGGGTAAAGGAGCAGGAGTAAGCAGAGGAGGCTTAGGACCTCCAGAGGAGCATGGGGCAGGGCACCAGCGACTCGACCTGCCCGGCAGGAACACTTGTCAGCCTTGTGCAAGGCTTGCCCTCAATTTCTTGCCTCACCCAATGTTCCCACGATCCTGTGGGTAGATAGCATCGCCCCCATTTTCCAGTTGAGAAAACGGGCTCAGAATGTTTGAGGGACTTCCCAAGGTCACAGCAAATGCCAGAAGCCAGGCCTCTCGATTCCAAGCCCAGCTCTGCCTTCCCACTTGCCACCTCACCTCTGCCCAGGAGACCCAGAGAACTGGTCACGCTGCCAGACAGCTGCCAGAGGAAGGGATCTTGCGGCTGGACCAGGCCAGCCCCAGTCACTAGCCCCACAGAGTGAGGGACACAGGCCTTTGCCTGGAGGGCCCTGGGCTTGGTAGGGGAGAGAAGCCAGATCCCCAGAGGAGCTCATCAGCTCCAGGCCTCCCTGTGGACACACAGCCCATGCCCCCCCCCCCCCCCACGCGCCTTCCCTCGGCTCCCACCCCATGCAGAAGGCCTCCCCAGCTGCCCCAGCACCTCTCTGCCTTCTGAAGGCCCATGATGCACACAGGCTGAGGCACATCCTTCTTGATCCATAATTCTGCTGGGCCCTGGGCCCTTGTCACCTACAGAAAGATGCCGGCTCTGCCTGGTGAGGATCTGTCTCTAGGTCTCTCGGGCTCAGAGCCAGTCTGGTCCTCTGCCCCCACCCCCCTCACACACCCACCCCAGCCTGGCCAGGAGTACCGTGTTGGGCATCTGCATTTCAGGATTGATGTAGCCCAGGACATCGTCCAGACGCATGATGTTGTCGATGACATCATCAAACTGGAAGAAAGAAAGTCCATCTGGGGAGGGCCCACCGGGAGATGGGCAGAGGGAAGGGGCATTGAAACAGCCACTGACCTGGAGGGACCTTGGAGCCCACCCGACCCAAACCTGCTCCTCTGGGGGAGGAGGAAACAGACTGAGTGAGGGAGGAGCTGTCCACGTCTCACTGGCCCCAAGGCCAGGCCACGGCTCTTACCTGGCCAGGGAGCTTCCTTGACACACCTTCTGCCTAGGGCTTTGTGGGTGTGCTGGGCTGTCCTGCATGAGCCTCCTGCTTCTCCCTACTGGAGCTCTCAAAAGCAGGGACCGTGTTTCCTCTGTGAGGCTGGGGCTCCCCAAGGACGGGGCCGTGTCCCCCCCTCAGACTGGGGCTCCCCAAGGATGGGGCCATGTCCCCCCTCAGACTAGGGCTCCCTGAGGACAGGGCCGTGTCCCCCCTCAGACTGGGGCTCCCCAAGGATGGGGCCATGTCCCCTCTCAGACTGGGGCTCCCCAAGGACAAGGCCAGGTCCCCTCTCAGACTGGGGCTCCCCAAGGACATGACCATGTCCCCCCTCAGCCTGGGGCTCCCTGAGGACAACACCCCTGCCTCTGCCATTAGACCAGGCGTCTCAGGAACCCAGCAGCCGGCACCGGCTCTGCCAGCAGCAGCAGCAGCCACTGGCCAACTCCTCACTCACCTCCCGCTCGGGGTTGGAGCCGATGTGCAGCATGGCCATGGGGCTGTTGGGAGCACTGTTTCCTGCTGAGGATGACAGCACATGTCCGGCCCGCACCCCCGGGGAGGCAGCTGGCGGGGGCTTCGGGGAGCCCTGGGCGGGGCTGATATGGGCGGCAAACTTGTTCCCGTAGGTCTCGGACAGGTACTCCCGCACCTTCTGGTGCTGGGACTGCTGCAGATGGTAGGAGGTGGGATTCTCCAGGTAGGACTGCACCTGGGAGGGGGAGAAGGTGAGGGCTCTAGGGAGGGCTGGGACCAGCGGGGTGGGGACAGGCCGGAGCAGGCCCTACCTTCAGCACCTCCCCGGGCACAGGTGGTGGTGACTGGAAGTGGACGGGGGTGTTGATGGCCGGGGTGGGCGGCCCCCCCAGCTGCTGCTGCTGCTGTTGCTGCTGCATGTAATGCATGACGGCCTGCTGCTGCATGCGCTCCCGCTGCTCCTCCTGCTGCGCCTGCTCCCGCATGAGCTGCATGCGCAGCCCGATGCGTGACGCCATGGCGGCTGCCGGCGCTGGCTCCCTGTGGATGCGGGGACAGGTCTGTGAGGCCCTTGTCCTCCGCAGAGCACCAGGGCTTGGGGAGGGGCCGTGACAGGTGGGATCGCACCCACTGTGAGGGGGAAGACACTGAGCCCTGAGAGGGGAAAGGGTTTGCCCAAGGTCACTGAGCAAGCCGGTGACAGGGCTGAGACATGAATGCAAGCTTCTGGCTCCTGGAGCAGAGCTGGAGATTCTGTCTTCACGTATTGCAGCTGGTCAGCTTCAAACTCCTGGAGTCAACCTCGACTCCTCGCTCTGTCTCACTGCATATGCTGACCCCGTTAGATCAGACACATGCTGCTCTGCAGCCTCCTCCGCTGCCACCACTGTGGGCCCAGCCCATACTATGTCTTGACCGGACTCCTGAAGGAGCCTCCTAACGTTCGCACTCCCTCCTTCTGTCTTGCCCCACACCATTTTGCTTGCAACTCAGTAGTTAGACGGATCCTGTTAAAACCTAAGCCAGATCCTGTCCCTCCCTCTACTCAGAACTCTCCATGGCTCCCACTTTACTCAGAGAAAAAGCCGAAGTCCTTACCATGCCAGAAAGGCCCTGTATGACCTGCCCCCACCTCGTGCTCCCCTCTGACCCCATTTTCCCCTTTTCTCCCTCTTGTTCCATCTGTTCCAGCCACACCTACCAGCATCTATGCAATCTCTCCAATAGCCCAGGCATGCTCCCACCTCAGGGCCTTTGCACCTGCCGTTCCCTCTGCCTGGAATGCTGTTCCCCAGATGCCATCATGGCTCACTCCTTCACCTCCCCCAAGGATCAAATGTTACCTTCCATGACCACCCTGTCAAACCTGCAGAACCCTTAACCCCCACACCCCCACTCCCTGTGCCCCTTCCCTCTTATTCTCCTCCATATGACTCATCACCATCTTAAATACTCTGCATGTTTGCTTAGTTATTTTATTGTCTGTCTCTTTCTTACTAGGAATGCAAACTCCCCTGAGGACAGACGTGCTGTCTGTCCTATTCACTGCTATACCTCGGGCCTCTAGCCCAGGGCCTGGGACATGGTATGTGCTGAATGCATACGTGAGGAATGAACATTGTGCATGAGCCAGGCACTGGGGATCCCGCTGCAGTCCCTGGGTCCACGGACCTACAGTCAGTAACTGAGACAGGCGAGTCCACAGGAAACTGTAACCCTGTGCAGGGAGGGCCACTTCAGGGCCACCCAGCACACCAGCCCTGATCTGTTACGGGTCTCAGTGAGACAGGTGTGACTTAGGCTTCCAAGCCTAGTCTGGAAGGTAGGAGGACGGGGCAGAATAAGTCCCACAGCTGAGCCCACGCCTTCTCTAGCTCCCTGAGTGACCCTGGGCAAACCCCTTCTCCTCTCTGAGCCTCTATCTCCCCACGCACAGAATGAAAGGGTTGGGTCCTGTGATTTCTAAAGTTCCTTCTAGCTGGGATGGGCTGAGACTCTCTGAGAGGTGCAGTGCTCCTGGGGGTGCCCGTGAGGGTCCTGCAGGGGCTGGAGGGTCCTATCTTGGGGATATTACAAGAGGCAGTTCGACTTCGTGGTTGAGCAAGGACTTTCGAACAAGGTAGATCTGGGCTTCAATTCCAGTTCTGCCACTTCTTGGCTGTGTGACCTTGGGCAAGTCACTTAACCTCTCACTTCCCTCATCTGTAAACCGTTTCTACTTCAGAAGACTGGTGGGAGTGTTACATGAAAATATGTCTTGCACAGCACACGGCACCTGGTAGGCTTAGCGCGTGAGACACGGATGAGCACGTGACAGGCAGGGTGAACGGACCAGCACGGACCAGGGGCCAGAGCTGTGTCCCAAGCTCCTGAGAGTGAGCCCCAGCCCTCTGGTGGAAAGCAGCACAGGCTGAAATGTTCCAGCCAATGCTGGATATTGGACTTAGCACTGGTGAAAAGTACTGGGAAATATTCAGCGAAAATCACCAGATCATAGAAGCAATAACTTGCATGTATTTGAGCATCTACCATGTGTCAGGCAATGTTCCAAACACTTTCACCTCAAACAGCCCTACGAGGTGGTTTTGATTATTTTCCTCCTTTTATAGATACAGAAAACACAGAGACACGGGGAGATTAAGTGTCTCACGGCGAGGACAGAGCTGGGACCTAGTCCCAGGGGGGCTGGTCCCTGAGCCCGCGATGGGGAGGAGAGGGTCTCCATTTAGAGCTGGGCAGAAGCTTGTCCCAGGTTGCTCGGCTGGTTGGTCCAGGGTCGGGAATGGAGCCCATGGCACCTGACTCCCAACCTGGGCTCCTGCCACGGGTGGCTTCCCTGCAAGGTGGGAAAGCACACGGTGGCCCTCACCTCACCTCCTGTCCTTCTCTGCCCCCCTAGGCCATGAATCAGTGAAGGGGCTGCCTCAGCCCCATGGGTCTCTCTGCCCAGCTCCCAACAGGGCCGTCCCCAGGGAGAAAGGAGCAGACACCCTCCCCACCCCCTCCTCCATCCTGCAGCAGGGACACAGCTGCAGCCTCCACCCATGCCCTCGCCCACCCCCTTCCCTGTGCTCCTGCAAGGGGTATCCCTGTCTTTGCACACTGCCCACCATACGCACTAGCCCTACAGACCCCACGGGCTCTGACCCCAGCCTGGCCCGCCCCCTCGCAGCTGCACCCCCTACACATAGTGCTGTGCAGCCCCTCCCCCTCAGGGACAATCTGACTTCAGTTGGCTGGCGGGGAGGAGAGGGATCGGCACCGGGCCTGGCAGTGCCAGCCGGCACAGGGAGGGCTGGGGGAGAACGAGCCCCTTGTTTCTCTGACAAAGGGCTGGGTGCCCGGCCTGTCCTGAGCTAGAGCTGGCTCTGCTGTGAGGAGACACTGTGCTAGGCCTGCTCAGCCTCTTGCCGGCTGGGCCAGCCTCAGTTCCTCCATCTGTCAAATGGACTCAGGACCTCCTGCCCCACCACCGGCCCAGAATCTGTGGGAGCCTCCTCCTGGGACGGGATGTCAGATGATTGTGAATGGCGAGGTGTCTGCATCTGAGAGTGTCAGCAGCCTTAGCCCGTCCCGTGCGTTCTGACAGGGTGGCTTGGCAGGCAGGGCAGAGTGAGGCTTTCCCACTCTCTAGCCCGTCATTGTCAGGGCTGTCACACCCCACAGAGCTGCTTCTGCCAGCAGAGTTCAGCCTTCCCCCCTTGCCCTGGTCCCCAGGCTGGGTCGCCACAAGTGTGGTCTGGGTGGGATGGGCGTGGAGTTAAGAGAGGGACTTGAGGGGATCCGAGGGCGATGGGGAGGTCCAGGACATGCTAATTCCCCACCTTAGCCCCCACGCACGCCCGCTCACTCTCAAAGCCTGACGAGCCACTCGCAGCCTCCCCCGGCGGCCAGTCTAGCCAGGAAGAACTGAGAGGAGGGACATGCGAGAACGAAAATGCCTCAGGCCCCTCTCCACCACCCAGACGTCCAGACTCACCACGCCTGGAAAGGGGCCACCATTCGAGCAATCAGTGACACCAGGGGCCTGGAGTGCCTACTGCATGCAGACACCAGGGACAAGGTGTTTCCCTGGAGAACCTTCTCCCCTCCTCCCCAGCGGAGGGGTCTGACGCCCCAGAGAATTCCTGCCTCTCCCAAGGTGCACGGCCAGCCCCATCCATGCCATCCAGACCCTCCAGCTGCCTCCCACTGCTGCCCACCCAGAGCCTCTCAGCTAACTCTGCCTCAGCCCTCAGCTCAGTCTGGCTTCCAGCTTAGTCATGACCAAAATGAGCTTTGCAGTCTAACAGACTCACTGCCTGTACTGGCTGGGTGACTTTGGAAAGCCACTTAACCTCTCTGTGTTTTGCTTTCTTCCTCTGTAAAGTGCAGCCAATAACAGCACCTGCCTCATGAGGCCACTGTGAAGATTCAGGGTGACACAGTGAGCGTGTGGAAGTCACCTCACAGGCCCTTAGGCATTTGATAACGGGGGGATCCTGGTCTCCTTTGAGCAAGGCTGGAGCAGGCTTCTTCTAGCCTCCCCATCAGTCATTTACACCTTAGTATAAACCAACTGGTCAGAACTTTTCCTGAGGGAAGATGTGGACAGAGGGAGAGGAGAGACAGGGAGAAATGACAGGCCTCCATGAGGGAGAGGCAAGGATAAAGAGGACTCCAGAACAGGAAAAGCCTCAGATATAGGAAGGAAGATAACAAAGATATAGCATTGAGTGGAAAAGGTAAACTGCAGAATAAAATGTACAGCCTGAGCCCATTTAGGCAGGAAATGGGTACATGTGCAGAAAAGACTAGAAGGATCCTAACGCCGGTAGCTGAGTGCTTATGGAATGCTTGCCATGGATCGGGGCTGGCTGATGTGCTTTTCAAATATTAATTCATTTTTTTTCTTCACAATGGCCCATTGAGGTACTATTTACTGTCCCCATTTTTCAGCGAGGAAACTGAGGCACAGAGAGGTGAAGGACCTTGCCCAAGGTCACACAGCTGATAAGGAGCAGAATGGAGATTTGATCCAGGCAGGCTGGTTCACAGCCACCATCTTTCACTATTCTGCTGGGCTCCCCCAGCGCCCTAAACTGTTCAGAGTGGTTAGCACAGGGGAGGAGAGTGGGGAGGGGCAAAGAGGGGTTTCTGTAGTTTCTCGTTCCACTGATGAAGCACCTAGCTCTGGGATGTGACTCCATGCTACACGTGTGATTCTCCTAATATGGGGGAAAGGAAGCAGGACAGCTTCTAGGTTTTGTGAGGGGCCCACCTGGCTTCCAGTCATGTCCAAAGGTGGGTCCCCAAGGGGAAGGTGTCCCCCAGCTCCACCCAGTCTGGCCCAAGTGCTGCTCTGCTCAGTGCATTGGTTGTTAGGTCAGCCAAGGACCCTGGGTGAGGACGCTGAGTGGCCAGCGGAGGCACAGAGCCAGGGCCGGCAGCCACATGCCAGTTGGAGCTGGAGGCTCCAGCCCTCCCCTACAGCCCCAGGCATGAGCCCTCAGTGGGGACACAGTCTTCATGCAGTGCCCCCCAAGCTGCTCTTGCTAAGG